TTACATTGAAATTTTGGATCCGTGGCCAGGCAACTCCCCAGATCTCAATCCCATAGAGAACCTGTGGTCAGTCCTCAAAAGGCGAGTGGACAAGCAGAAGCCCACAAAGAACTAATAAGGCAAGAATGGATCGCCATCAGTCAGGATTTGGCCCAGAAGCTAATATCCAGCACGCCAGAGCGAATTGCAGAGGTTATGAAGAACAAGGATCAACAAAAATATTGACTCATTATATTTTTTGCCAATAAAAGCCTTTAAAACTTATGATATGCATTGTTTTTCAGTATACCATAGAAACATGTGGTAAAATAATCTACAAATACTGAAGCAGCAAAATTTGCAAAACAAAATTTATGTCACTGCCAAAACTTTTGGCCATGACTGTACGTTTAGTATAAGCATTGGTATCTCAGTGATATTTTAAAAATGATACCAAGGTCAAGTAGTAGAGTGTTCTGGAAACTCTAAACATTTACAAAATTGCTTCAATGCCTTTTTTTATTAATGTGAAAACCTTTTGTTTGGAAACCAAAGTGAGTGTGGCATATGTAAAAAATCATTTTGTTATCACAAGAAAACCATGAATTAGTGGTTGAATACAGAGTAACATACTACTCTTAAAGATAGACGATTTGTGTAAAATCTGAATTATGGACTATAAGCCTAATGCATCAAAATCAATAAATGGACAAATACAGCTTAAACAGTATAAAAGATTCACAAATGTGGTCATTTACCCCAAATGTAAGAGCCTTTAATTACCTTCATTTTAAATGTCTGTTTCTTACCGTAACAGTCACACATCTTGAGCTGAAAACAGTATGAAGTAGAACAATCTCAGGAGGAGAATGTATGCGATATGCACATGTCTCAGATAGGAGAGGCAGTATTTTCCCATTCACTGTGGATAACAAAAACTGCATTTAAGACTAATTTTGAATCTCTGAAGACAACTGTGAATAAAGCATTACAATTTTTTTGGGAAAGATTATAATTTCAAGAGAATTTGCATCAATGTGAGAACAATGTGTTCGTTTATGTTTTAAAGGAGATTAAAATTATTAGCTTAATTTAACTTACCTTTAACCCGGTGTTTTTCTGCAGCTTCCCGGGCTCCTTCTATTGTAATGACCATGCCAAAATGAGAGCACAAGGCAGAAGGAGTTGGTTGTGAGATCACAGGTGGCATAGGACAGGATATCTTTATGGGACTGCCCCACCACAGCAGTGAAAGAACATAACTGCCACTCTGAAAAGGGGAAAGATTGATTAAAAGGTTAAATCTGGACCATTCATTTATTTTTATTATTGATTAAACTTAAATCAGAAATGTGTCAAAACATTGAAAAAAAAAAAAGTGTCACCAATCAGACAAACATTTTGCACAGTCTGGACATGTAATGTCATCTAGAATTGGAATTTGTCAAGCACAAACTAATATAATACTTTCTTGCTCTCCTTAGCATGCTTAGTAAAAACAAACTAAAGAACTATGGTCCAAGATGAAATATTTGGCACCTCTTGTATGATGTAGCACCCATCATATGGGGCCACTAGGACCAGATCTTCCCATGTGACCCTGACAGAATAACCGCAAAATGCAGGTACCTGGAATAAATGCAGTGGGGCTGCATCCACTGTGAATAAAACACACCAGTTAATTTTCTGTAGGACCATCAGTTTAAAAAAAATCACTTGACTTTCTCACCTCTTTCCACAAAGATGTATGTGTATTCTCTTCCAGCCGCTGTTAAGGTCATTGCTTCTTCTGAACAGTGTACCATAGGTAATGCCAGCCACATATCTGTGGATTGGGAGCTGGACCCACTTTGAGGACCATAAAATTTCCCCGGGATTGCTAATCTTCCAAATACTTGAGAAAAAAAAAATGTTTTAACCATTTTAAAAACACACTAAAACATTCATATTTCCACGTTTAAGGTAAACACACCTGAGGCGTCACCTTGAAATCCAGCTTCGATTTCAAGAGCTCTTTTGGGGAAACTTCTTAGAGCAGCGTTTTCGGTGTTAGACTGTATAGACGCACTGTCGTCGGATCGAGATTCATACGTGGATTTGCTTTCTTTAATAACGTTGCAGATGCAGATTCATACACAATACATCCATAATCAAGAACTGATCTCATGAGTCCAATATATATACACTTTAATGATTGCTTATCTGCACCTCTGATTCTTCTTCTTCTTCTTTTGGAGTTTTATGGCGGTTGGCAAACAAACGATAGGTGCATTCCCGCCACCTACTGGGCTGGAGTGTGGACCATTGATGGAAGAGGAAGAACTAAACAAAACAAAACAAAAATGTATATAATAATAATAGAAAAAAATTTAAAGTCCCTGTAAAGGCAATATTAAATATGTGTTCTGAGTTTGTCACACCACAGAAAAATGTATTATTAACCACTCAGCCAAATTTGAATGATGAAAAAATCCGCCAAGTAAATAAAATAAGTGATCAAAATCTTGAAAAAATGGGCGGTATCCTCTGCTCTCAAACGCTGGGGGCGTGTCCGGACGGGAAGATGAAGGCCGAGGCGGGAAATAGTCAGTTCGGCCCCATTTACCAGTAACAGTGGATTATCAGTGAAGCCCAGTTCCTAGCCAACACGTTTTTGTGGGGCCCATATGGGTTACAAATGGGCTACAGGGGTACAGAGTGGGCATGGGCTCAAAATGGGCATCTTATCTGGGGCCCACTTGGGTCAACTAAGTAGGTCCCACATGGGCAAACCCAGGTGGGCTCCCCATGTGGGACCTACTTGGTTCACTAATGGGAAATGAGTACATGGGCTGAAAAAAGGGGCTACTAATTCAGTTTAGCAAGAAGACAAGTACAAACACAGTCAGTCCCAAAGGTTGATTACATGGGTAGATAGTACACAAATATGCTCCTTTAAAATTATTTTTATTGTTATTTTGACACTTTAACACAATGTGACTTTAATCTAATCAAAAATTTAAAATGCCAAAATTGCTATTTTACCCAAATTTCTGCAATTTAAAAGGATCAAGTGCCTGCATACAGAGAAAAAATGCTAAAAAAAATATATACATTAGAGAGTTTACAAAACTTTGGCAGGATGGATCTCGCGAGATGTTATTCAGCAATACCCATCCCCCACCCCTCCCTACCTGAATCGCGCCAGCGCCATCACTCGCTGTCATTCAGCTGTAATTTTTCTTCGGAGATTTTTGCTGTCAGTGTATTCAAGGTAAGAACCTAATAATTTCATACAATATATACAAAAATGAACATTTTAATTAAAATACATTGTTTTCAAATCATAATGTTTAACAAAACATATCTTCTTGTCAAGTTAGAATTTCAGTTAGACATTCAGTTCCCTAAGATCGCGCCATTTTCCCCCTTATTTCTGGCGCCATGACCAAAGCGATAAGAATTACTGTATGCTATCATTGTAACATTTTTCTTTACTACAAACTGTGTCCAAATTGATTGGATTTGAGAATCTAGCTTTACTATTTTACCACTGTTTTACGATATCCGACAATGGCAGTAATTTCTTAATTTGTGTAAGGTGTACATATCAAATACCCAAAATGAAAGCAGGAATTTCGAATGTAATTACGAGACACGACTGTTTAATCGTGTCTGCTCCCCCCCATACGGACCAGCTCCCTCGGGAAACATTTCATCAACTGCTGGCTTCATAACTTCAGCGCGAGTACTTAACAGTCAGCGGTAAACAAATGTTAAAATTATGTATTTTTCAGCTCACTGTCACATTCACCAAAACAAACGCTTCCCTCTGTTTCCGGTGCTGTTTCGATTGTTCTTCTTCTTCTCCTTCTTTTGGAGTTTTATGGCGGTTGGCAAACAAACGATAGGTGCATTCCCGCCACCTACTGGGCTGGAGTGTGGACCATTGATGGAAGAGGAAGAACTAAACAAAACAAAACAAAAATGTATATAATAATAATAGAAAAAAATTTAAAGTCCCTGTAAAGGCAATATTAAATATGTGTTCTCAGCCAACACGTTTTTGTGGGGCCCATATGGGTTACAAATGGGCTACAGGGGTACAGAGTGGGCATGGGCTCAAAATGGGCATCTTATCTGGGGCCCACTTGGGTCAACTAAGTAGGTCCCACATGGGCAAACCCAGGTGGGCTCCCCATGTGGGACCTACTTGGTTCACTAATGGGAAATGAGTACATGGGCTGAAAAAAGGGGCTACTAATTCAGTTTAGCAAGAAGACAAGTGCAAACACAGTCAGTCCCAAAGGTTGATTACATGGGTAGATAGTACACAAATATGCTCCTTTAAAATTATTTTTATTGTTATTTTGACACTTTAACACAATGTGACTTTAATCTAATCAAAAATTTAAAATGCCAAAATTGCTATTTTACCCAAATTTCTGCAATTTAAAAGGATCAAGTGCCTGCATACAGAGAAAAAATGCTAAAAATATATATATATATTAGAGAGTTTACAAAACTTTGGCAGGATGGATCTCGCGAGATTTTATTCAGCAATACCCAAACCCCACCCCTCCCTACCTGAATCGCGCTAGCGCCATCACTCACTGTCATTCAGCTGTAATTTTTCTTCGGAGATTTTTGCTGTCAGTGTATTCAAGGTAAGAACCTAATAATTTCATACAATATATACAAAAATGAACATTTTAATTAAAATACATTGTTTTCAAATCATAATGTTTAACAAAACATATCTTCTTGTCAATTTAGAATTTCAGTTAGACATTCAGTTCCCTAAGATCGCGCCATTTCCCCCCTTATTTCTGGCGCCATGACCAAAGCGATAAGAATTACTGTATGCTATCATTGTAACATTTTTCTTTACTACAAACTGTGTCCAAATTGATTGGCTTTGAGAATCTAGCTTTAATATTTTACCACTGTTTTACGATATCAATCTCACAATGGCAGTAATTTCTTTATTTGTGTAAGGTGTACATATCAAACACCCAAAATGAAAGCAGGAATTTCGAATGTAATTAGTAAATTACGAGACACGACTGTTTAATCGTGTCTGCTCCCGTTTATTTTGTGATCACAGAACAGTGCATACAGCGACCACTTTAGCTTTTATTCTAAAAGTGTTCACATTCAGTGAAATATCTGCATTCTCAAATGCTTAATTTGACATTAATTTTAATAAATGTATATTTCGTCACAAAACAACTAATTTTCACTTTTCCCCCTTTATTTAGTGCTAATTCAAATAACAACTGCACAAAAGATACCCAATATACTAACACTTTAGAATACTGATTCAAATAATTAGTTATTCCTTCTGATTGATTTGGTAACACTTTCATTACTAGGTTACCATGATCTTCACTTTAGAATTAATTATACATTATGCATTATATTAATTATGAACCTGTATATAATAAGTTTTAGTAGTTCTCTGGGAGGTATGAAAAAAACTTATTTATTGATTAGTTATGAGTTAACTACTGCGTTCAACTGAGTGCTATACTTCTACTAATTTGTTAATCAGAGTTTCTTGTTATTTAATAGTAGTTACAAGAATGTTATTGTTGTATTACTCATTTGTTCCTGTGTAGTTATTCATTAAAGGGTCATGAAACCCCCTGTTTCAGCAGCAGTCAGTTCTCACCACAGTTTTGAAAAATGCTACAAAAGTGGGCGTGGTTAAGCTGCGGAGTGGAGGGGGATGAGGGGAGACTGACAATACAGCAACAGCTGATTCAGACAGTTTATTTTCCTCTCATTAAAAGCATTAAAAAAAGGTTCCCACAAATGCACGTTGCAAATGACTATTACATGCAACACAATATATACATGGTATTTGCTATAATTTAATACACAATGAAATGCGCAGCCATTCGCATTTTGTTCTTTCTTTGATAACTTTTGAGACTTATTGAGTTTTTTTAGAACTTGTGTGACGCAGAAACTCTTACAAAGCAAAAACAAACATTCGTATTTTATCCATTAATGCATCTCTACCTTATTGTATGTGATCTCACTGTTTGAAGCGCCTGTCAGAGGATGAATAAGGCCGAAGTCCACCTTTCTCCCGTTATCGTAGCTCTCTCGAGAAAAATGCTTGCTACACACAAACGGTTTCGATGATGGCCAACCAACCGCCCACAGCCAGTCTAGCACTGGCAGCATCGCGGGGAAATCCATGCAACACCCGAACTTTTACACAACGAAAACAAACACTTTGTTGCGACCCATAAACGCTTCTCTCATCTACTGCGCGATCTACAGTTTGACATGTCTGTCATTTGAAAGAACCACGTGGTGTCCTGAATAACTAAGAGACAGTGTCTTCTCATAGGATAAGAAAACTCAGTCTCATTAATAATTATGAGACAATGACGCGTCATTAAAGTATTATAGTGCATCGCCATGTCACAACCTGTGACGTGAACATGGTGTAGATTTTAAACCCGGTGTTCTGACTATTTGTGCTACCTTGACAGATTTTGCTACCTCCCATTGAAACAGTGGGTAGCAAAATTTGACAGCGAAAAATGCTACCTATCAGATTGTGCTTCCAGCGTGATATTAACGTGGTTTATGTCTTTATTAACATCTACCCCTACCCCAACCCTAAACCTACCCTTACAATAATGCAAGTACTGTAGTGGTAGCACAATCTGATATAGCATTAATCATTAGAAAAAGTATAAATTAATAGCGAAAAATGCTACTTATCAGATTGTGCTTTATTAATGTCTACACCTACCCCAATACAAAAACCTACCCTTACAATTATGCAAATACAGTAATTTTGTGTTATTTATCATGACAAAAATGATGTAATATTGATGTGCGCACGTGCAGTAAGCCCAGGTAGGACAATCTGACTGGTAGGATGAAATGT